TTGAATTTTCAAGTTTTCTATTGACTTTCAGGAGATCAAGGAATCTGTGCAATCGGATTTCAGACATCAAGTTTCCCTTCTTGTACAGCCAATGCTTCAGGTTAACTTCTGGCTTCAGGTCCACTAATAGTAGAGTATGGGAGTACTCTCCCTGCAGCAAAATCGTATGAATATTCGTACTCTTGCTAAGGTCTGTTTTTTTTTTCTAGTTTCCCTTTTGAGATATTTGAGACGATAATGTTATTTGTCTGGAGTTCTAGCATTTTGGCATTCCCTGATGGAAGATGCCGCGATCTTCTTTTTAATTGAATGAAGTGCTTTCTATGGAGTTCTATTTTGTATCGTGCTGCACTTTGGCTTATCCACTCGATCTCATGGAAAAATTCGTGTCTTTACAGGCTTTAGATGCTGCCTTTGCCCATTATGATGCAGATATACAGAAGAGATCTGCCAAAAGTGGGGAGAGACCAAATGGATTTGCTTAGGCAAAATTTTTCTCCATTTTCATCCGATATTTAAGCTCTTTGTTTTCTGGGGGTTATATACACGAATGTACATTTAACAAAATTTTGTTCGAGTGTGTTATAGCATATTCTATATCTTGACAGTTCTAATTGACTGCCTGCGGTAATTGTACATCTAGTGGAATTTTGTGAAGTTACTGTATTCAAAATATCCCTTTTTCTTCCTTCATCTGTGTTCGTTGATCTTTGGTATTAGTTTTTTTCCCCTTGTTTCTAGAAAAAAAAGTCTAATTTTTTGTGTTTGACTCCTAATGGAGGTCAATCTGAAGGTAATTTTAGTATAGTAAAAAATAGAGGGGAAAAATTGGACTTTTTCTCGATGAATTTGGACATGTAGAGTCCACTTGTTTCATGTTAAAGCTACGTTAATTGCAAAGACAAGTACTCATCGATTTGCTAACGACATGCCAAAATTGAGCAAATTTGAACCTTTTTCCTAAATAGTAATGCATAAGACTATTTTTGAATGTTTCACCAGAGGAAATGGATTTGACATTTTATGATACTTTCGGTAAAACTATCTCTAGCAAGCCCAATTTTAATCAATCATATCTAAAACTGCAAACCACAGAACTATACAAAAGTAACACCTATTAGCAATTAACAGATATTTCTTCCATTGAAGAAAACAAAGGCAGGACAATTAATCTTTGTTCAGAAACAAAGAAAGAAAATAGTGCTAGTAGGATGGAGGAGAAGAGAAACCCAAAAAGGGCCTTCTGTCAACATAATCGACATGAATCGTGTTCTTCAACTTGTGAAAACCATCCTTGTAAACGCCAAATCCGAATAATAAACCAATAGCAATGACCAATAGAATCAAGCATGTGCACAACATGCAAACCTTACCGGGGCAAATCAAACACATTATATATGTTTACACCAAAATAATAATTTTTTTTAATCTTGCTCGATGGATCAAGATATACTGCCCGGCTATAATGCCAAAGGCGTTGTTGATTGAAAAAAAAAGAAGCACAAATATATAGTTGAGAAATAAAGTAGTGCGCCAATGACCCTAGGAAATTTCTTGGTTATTAAAAAAAAAGGAGTGTACGATTGGACTAGTTTTTCTCTTTGACTATTTTTACCAAGTTGGTTTGTTTAAGCCGTTACTACTCTGTCCATCAGTTTTGCTCATTAATGTAATCCATTGAAAAAATATGAATGATCCCAAAATGTTGTATTAACATTTCATTAAAGATGAAGTGTATTATCTTTAATGAACATTAATATTATTGTTTCCTCCATTAATACTGCCTCTTGTTTCAATTTTTGGTACAATTTTCTACCAAAATATATAATGATTTGTGCTAAATTTTGTGGATGCGGATAATACATCAACGCGATTGAATAACACATTCTTATAAAAAGTGTTTAAATATTCACGAAATGCTAATCATTACATTATAATTATAATATGACTAATTTGTGTAAGCATTACTGATTCCGTTATCACTAATCCAACGTTAATAATATTTGCATGATTTCGACCTCTAAACCAATAACTAAATCTATCAAGGAATCTTAGTAGTTCAACTAGTTGACTGGACTTTCATGTAGATGGTTAGGATTCTATTTTCTACCTTGTAATTCTCCCCTATTTTTCCTTCGCTTACCCCTATATATGTAATTTATACATAAAAAAACTAAAATTTATCTGTGGCTTATAGGAGTCAAGATTATTCTAAACATGAAATACTCTTAGATCCTCAACTTACTATAAAGTAATATTTTCTTACCCATCATTTTCCCATAATATGACTAATCCATGCATGCATAACTAATTTCGTCATCACTAATTCACGTTACTAATCTTTGTATAACTTATTTTCGACCTCTAAACTAATAGCTAAATCTTGGGGGAAATTTAGTAGTTGAATTGGTTGACTACCTCAACTTTCACCTAATTGACGATAGTTCAATTTTCTACCTTGAAATCCCTCTCTCATTTTTTCTTTGCTTAAAGCGTAACCCGGTGCACTAAGCTCCCGCTATACGTGAGGTTCGAGGAAAGACCGGATCATAAGGGTCTATTGTACGCAGTCTTATCCTGCATTTTCGCAAGAGTCTGTTTCCACAGCTCGAATCGGTGAACTCCTGGTCACATGATAACATTTTCGCAAGAGTCTGTTTTTTTTTTACCCCTAATCAACAATTTTGGATTAGCTGATTGTAAATAACTGATGAGCTTGTAGTACTGAAAAGTTTTTTTAAATGCTGAAACTGATTTTTAAAATAAGTATTTACGTGCTTGGATAGAAGTGCTGAAACTGATAATAAGCAGTTGATGTGTTTGATTAAAAAATGCTGATAA